CCTCTCCAGACTCGGCACGCTCTCTCCCTCTCGTGTCGATACAGGCACACAAACATTGTCATCAGATACAGCGGCTCTGTTTTCTCAGACTGGGTTAAAACAACCTAATTTGTTTTTTGCGCACACAAATGACACATGTATATTTGCATATAGAGCTGGGAAGTGAGATCCAATCACAGGAGAGACATTTAGGACACATTTGAATGCCAGGCGTGTCTACTTGTGACCGGATCACTCAGAATGGATATTAATACCCAGCCTGAACAGGGTCTAGATGTAGTTGGATTCTGGTGGCTTAATTCCATAGCCCTAGCTACTTTTCTAGAGGCTTTGTCTTGCGTCAGTCTTGAAAAACCCTGACCTATTGGTGTTTGATTATACGGTAGATTTTGGAACATCAAATACTTGAGCTATGACCTTAAATAATACTACTTGAACAAGTCAGGAAAAAAAATCAGAAGCTCCCTGTGGTCTCCCCAGCCATGTGCTCAGTCTAGGAGGAGTGTAAAAATGAAAACGGTTGGTTTGAGATCCTCATTTTCATACAGAAACATCATCTGTGAGATCTCAACAATAATTTTGAGGTAACAAAAGTAACCATAGTAACATAAAAACTATTAAATCACCATTCTTTCTTGCAGAGCCACCACTGGAATCATTGGGTCAAGTAAAACAACCCTTGACCTCTGGTATCATGTAGGGATTGAAACGATGATATAAGTGAGTAATGCAGTCATACTAGTACTTGTCCAGAGTTGTCACAATAACAAGTGAAACAGTGTATAAGCAGCTTCATTTCATTTCATTTAACGACAACTAGTGCAGTGTCTGTGCATTTGGAATGAGTTGTTTGGCCTGTGGTAATGCTGGTTGTATTTTTCTTTCTGAAACTGTAAAAGTGACCTGAAGTAATTGAGCTGCAGTATAGGGGCCAGCTGCTGGACTCCACAGAACCCTGAAACTGCACTACCACTGCAGCATAAAGAGATGGTCACCTTTATTAAAAGTATTATGAAGCTCGACACAGAACCCTGAACTGGAGCATTAATTGTCTTTTGCTTTTGTCTTGATCAGAAGTGTCACATGTATGTTGCTGAGTCCCAGCAGCTGCTGCTACAAAATCCTGGTTAATTAAAAGTTTATGATTTTTAATGATTTTTTTAATTGCGATTCCTTGAGACCTAGCAATATAAATGCAAGACCTGAGGGACCTTCTGCCAGGGCCTGAGAACTTACTCAGACAAAAGTGCATTTAGGAGGGAAGGATTTATTGTGGAGTAATGAACGACATCAATAACAAATTTGTTTTATTCAATGAAATTGATGATGTGTTAACATCTGCCATCAGTCATGCAGAGGCATGTATGAGCATTTCTAACAATATGATAGTAATGAGAATAAAGATTTTGCTTTTGGTCCAGTGATTCTGTTTTGAAAAGTATCAATCATGATAAGGAACTTTTTTTAAAGTCAAATTTGGTCTTAGAATCAATATAAATCAATACTAATTATTACTCAACTTCTTTAGTGGCAAAGCAACACATACACACACATACACTGCTATTTACACAGATGCCGAAGCAAACCCACCAGTGGTAGTAGGTGGCAGGCTGCTAGGTTAGCTTCAAGGTTCGATAAATTGAAGAGATTACATGACCAAATAATTGCAAAAGGTTTTGGAATGGATGATGACAGTGAGGGGTCTTCTTGCCACAGAGGGCAAAGGGGAAAATGGTATTACGGTGCTGAACAATGAGCGTGAAGGAGCTGGCAGGTGGGGCAGGGGCTTGAGGGAGACTGGAGGCCGGTGGAGATGGGCAGGCTTTTGGATGATGAGCTTAGTGGTGAACATAGCAGGCAGAGAGCCAAGCTGGCTGATAGATAAGCATGGGGTATTCCTGAAGAACCGGAAAACAGACAATTGTTCAAGCAAAAACACAGGGAGATTAACTCATGCTGTGTCTCAGATCAAATACTTTAGTCAGTATACTCACATGTAGTACACTGCGGTGGTGTGGTGTGTGAATTTTGACAGGGAAGTGGCGTCCCAAATTGCTGCTCAGCGCAAATGATGGTCCACGAATGATGTGACCACGACTGTCAGCTGCAAAACTTTCTGCTATTTATGACGCTGACTATAGTCACTGTATACCCTGAGATATATTAAGTGCTTACATTGTTTAAAACCTTTAAAATGTTTAACTCATCACCATAGGATTACTAGTTATTCTGACACAATGAGTGTGCATGCTTTTTTATTCAGTAAATTAAGTAAATTTCTACATCTTGAAGGGTAATTTTACACTTCATCTATATTGTGGCAGATTATTTGTGTTTGGTGCTACCATTTTCACTTATTTGAAAATATTCCATTACATATCCAAGTCTTTTGCCTTCCACTTAACTTTTTTGCACCATCGAGATACTTATAGTGCACTGCTTGTGTCCATATTTGTCATTGTGAACATAATGTACATTCAAATTGCAAGTGTTAGTGTATGCAAACGGAGATACTTGCAATGTAAAATATATCATGTTGACTTTACTTTAAATAAATGTATGAAAAATCACTGCCTCCGAAATGTGCCACTGATGGCACATGAATGCTATAAGACTATAATAACACTGAGAGTAACAGGGGATTCTTCTTGGTCATTATTTGTTCTATAAGGCTTGAAATAAGAAATTCTGACTTTGACAAAGCAGTTTGTACAATGCTGATCAAACATTTTTATAATTGTAGTTTCAAGCCTGCTAGTTTAAAACAAAGAAAATACAAAATACATGCTAATATTACTTAGATATTACTTTTTGATGCTGACAAAACTGAGAATTTCTGCAAAAGTAAATACAGTTGGACTAAACACATAATCGTACACTGCTTGAAATTAAACAACTTCTCAAATGTTGTGAGTACTGTTTGGCTGTTTTGTGTTTATTTCCAGCACATGTGCTGTCAAACTGATGAAGATGTTTTCTTTCATTTGTACTTGACTGCTTGCATGTGTTTTCTTATGTTACAGTGTATTGAGCTCTCAGGGCCACGGTTAGTATTCCTTTGTCAGAGGTAAAATATGTCTGTGCTGAGTCAAGAGGTAATTTCAGCAACCTATTCCCACATTTAGCCCAAACACATTGTTTGTCTCCATATCACATTTGACAGACTTGTTTTTTTCGTCCCCTTCCCTCTTGTTAATAACATTATGACTTGTATCAGTGGTGCAGTGGGCACCGTGCAGGATGTCAGTCCACTGTTATTTCCTGAGCAGCGAGCAGGACTGATAAACGGCGGTGATTTGCTGAGTGTTTGACAGTTTGCTTATTTCCCTTTGGCTCAGAGGGCCCCTCATCAGCTAATTTCAACATGGCAGCTTTAGAAGCGCAAGTCTTTGGGGAAATGTCATTTTTAATTAAATCCCAGGTCCTTTAAGATAAGCAGTTAGGCGTTAATTTCACCCAGGGTGTGACGTTGTCAGGAGCCCAGGAGCATGACGTATGTCTGTCAAGATTAATCATTATGCAAACACCGTCCTGTTTTTCTCTTTTCCTTTCCTCTTGCTTCAAGGAGTCTCTAACTGCCCAGTGAAAAAGTCATCTGAATGGACAAAATTAATAGTCCCCCGTGTTATTCTGTTATTGTGAATGGTTCCCTTGATATTCTGGGATTGTTTTTCATGATGTTAATTGACATGTTTGTAACAATCTAAATGACCAGGAGACATTCAGTGAATCAAAGTGAATTAAATGATGACATACAGGTAAATATGTTGCAGTGTAGAATGCCATTGATATCCTGAGAACACCTATGACCTTAGTTCATTCAGACACTTTAAAGCTGCAATAATCATCCAGTATTAATCCAGTAATAATCCAGCAATAATCATCATATCTATATTAAGATAGACATCATGACAGCTTCCAAAAGTGAAGCCAAAACAAACGAATCGCCCTCTGGTGGTTGACTGCTGTATAGGTCATAAACCCTACTCCCTCTGTACTGTATAAGCAGATGGGAACAGACTAATAAATAAATAAATCATTATTTTTGAAAGATGGTTTCTGTCATCTAGTCCTTAAAGGTCCAGTGTGTAAGATTTAGGTGAACAGGAACCATTGGCAGAAATTAAATGTAGAATAATCCTCATGATGTTTTCACTAGTTCATTTCATCTAAATTGTATGAATTGTAGTTTTCTTTACCCCAGAAAAGGTCCTTTATATTTAAATACTTTATATTTACATCAAGACCCTCTCTACAGAGGCCGTCATGTTTTTTACATTAGTCCAGACTGAACAAACTAAACACCTTCTGAGTTTTTATGACAACTGAAGCTACCACAGGTTCTTTTTCATGTTTGGAAGGAGAGGGTGAGGTGAGGGGTGTTCAGCTGCAACATGCAAGTTCACCACTAGATATCACTAAATTCTACACACTGTACCTTTAAGACTAACTAAGACCTCAATTTCATTGATTTTAATTTAAGACTTTAAGGGGCTGCAGGAACACTGGATAAGGTTCCTGAGACATTCCTAGTCTAAATTCTAACTCGAGGGGCCATTGCAGTTGCAACTTCCGGGGTTCCATCTGTTATTCTAGGTGTTTATCAATCCTTTAATTTCTGAAGTGTGTTTTTTTTTTTTTTGAAATGTTCCTTTGATATCACATTTGTATTAAACTCCTGCCATGCTGCTATTCTGACAGCTTAATACTAAGATTGACTTCATTTGTAACAGGAGATGGTGTTGGTTATGGACGGATTGGACGCTTGTGTCTCATTGTCTGCCTGTGACACAGTATGTGTCATGTTACATTGTCATAATAATCCCATCACACACCAACACAGCGGTTCCAGATGTGAACATCTACTCAACATCAGCTGATCCTGCTGACACGTGTCGATCGGTCGCTGCTGCTCCATCACCCCCGCGTTCATTCAATGGCTTCGGAACTTTTCGGTCAGTTCCGACACTGCATCGTCTTGCCTCCATTTTGCTCTCGCGTGTGTGTGTGTGTGTGTATGTGTGCGTGTGTGTGTGGGGTGCGCGCGCAGTGTAGGTGTAAACTGGAGAGAACGCAGGACGGGAGGCGGACGCGCTGTGAAAGCTCTACAGAAATGGACGGGTAATGTTTCTTTCAGCGCTGTTACCTTCCTGTCGTTACGCGCGGAGGGAGCACATAGTCCGCGTGTGTGTGTCGGTCCAGTGGGAGCCAGTGTGCTGGTGCGAGGTTTCCGCAGCCACGCGCTCTCTTCAAGGAACTGCTTAGCATGCTAGCACAACTTAGCTAACGCCCCGTGTTTGCGTCGGTAATAGCGCAGTAACGCATCCTTAATAATGCTTCGCGCACGGAGTGACGTCGGAGGGAGATAGTCGCCACTATGCCTCCATTCGCAAGCAATCGTGTCCGACAGCTGCGTGCTCGCGAAGCGGCTAGCGGAGTTTTTTAAGCTAGCTGTCATGCTAACGAATATACAGTGTTGTTGACCCTTTGTGTTTGTAGCTAACTCAGCTCGAGCTCTCCGAGCGGATCCTGTAGCTGGAACCAGTCATTTCAGTCTCTTATGGCGTATTTGATCTAAGAACTGATGGAATGCAATGATGCATCTGTTTTTTAATTTTTTATTATCAATGTGTGAACAAACACTTCTCCAACATTACGGTAGCGCAACACTACAGGCACCATTTGTAATGAATGACACTGATCGGGCCACAGCAGATGTTGTGATGAGTACTCCAGGGTGTGTCAGTCCAAAGAATGAAGGATGGGCATGCATTGGTGTTGATTGAAGAATGACTTCCACATTATTTGACTGTGTGCCCCCTGGGAATGTTTTGATGGAACCCAATAATATCACAAACCCACTCAGAACCCTCTGACACGCTCCACTTTCATAATGAATCCAAAATAGTTTTACAATTGTCAGTGTTTCGCATAGATGGATTTATTTATGGCCACCACCACGATATTGTCATTATAAAGATTGATCATTATTCATTTATCTTGTTGCGTTGTAGAGCTGCACCCCCGATCTTTCCCTCTCTCTCACATACAAACACACACAGCCAGATTAACAACAGTCATCTGTTATAGCGTGTTTGGAGTGTTGAAACAGCAGTGATGAACGTGTTCATTTGCAAACAGCAGAGAGGCAATTCCCATGATCACTCGTGACTGTTGGCAGATTCTAATGTCAGGTGTGAAGTAACTATTAAGAGCTATTCACTTATGTTTGGGTCACTCAAAATTAATGTGAATGCAGATTATGAATAGGCCTTGTGGAAAATAAATGATACAATTGAGAAACACCTTGGGTTCTCAGTGGGACTGATAATGTTAAGGGGCTTGTATGGGCGCTTACAAAACTGGTAGTTTTTATTTAACATGTATGTTGTTTGACAAAAATCTGTTAAAATGCTTAAAATCTGTTAAAATGCTTTTCAGTTCACACCCAATGATTTAAACCTGGTGACAGAGAAATGTTTATTGTGTTATGTCTTATTATCTTAAGTTTGTGTATTTTATAGTTCTCCCATTTAAAATCCATTCATTGTGAATAATCTAAACATTTTGTCTTACAGCATCAGTGATGTTGCAGTTGGCGTGAAGGTGAGTCCTCACATTTGCTTATTTTTTCCAGTGTTCAAATCCCATGCTTTTACTTGCATTCTCCATCAGTTAAACAAAAATAGCTTGGGATTAGATGACACATTTTTTGCATTCAGCAGTATCAGTAAAGGTCTCGAATAGGGCAGCAGTGTCTGGTCAAATAGCTGTACCTCTGACTCCAAGAAATACATTTTTACTCAGCTTTATTTCCATAACCATTTTAGATCCTCAGCTGTGTGGCTTTTTTTTGTCTTACATAATATTTGCTTTGGTAACAACAGACTCATATGGTGGTAGCCCAAAAAATACATTTTTTGAACGTTAACTGAACAGTAACTCTACATCACATTTTGCGCTGCTTACTTTTATACGTTGAATTTATAGGACACCTACTGACATCAATGATATAAGGCAAGTTCAAGAAAAACTAAAATCAATCAGAGCAGCAATGGTGCCAAATGTGAGAGCTTACGTGCATTCGGTGCCCAATATCTAACAGAAACAGAGTATTGTAACTCAACAGTTATTGATTAAGAAAATCAGCATATCAGCCTTTTCTGGTCGAACGTTTGATGCTACTGGACAATTGGTGACATATAGTGTCTCCATCAGCTCGCTGTCCCTGGCTTTACCAGAGGGAAGACTGGGGGTGCTTGCGGTGTGCTTGTGCTGGCTGAGCAGGCTGACACTCTGGCACTCGGAGACCGCAGAACATCAATCAGTGTACATTGCTCCAAATCAATGCCATGCTGCCTTAAAGGCTAGATTCGAGGTCCAACCCAACTAGGAGCTAATAAAACCCCTGTATTTACTGCACTTTGCCATGTTGTTGCTTTTTCTTTCAAAATACTGCCGGTCTTTTGATCATTAGTGGCGGTCTGTCTGTCACACTGTTGCTCTGGCATTAAAGGGATAGTTCACCAAAAATTAAATCATTATCTACTCGCCACTGTGCCGATGGAGGGGTGGGTGAAGTGTCTGAGTCCACGAAACACTTCTGGAGTCTCAGGGGTAAACAGCTTTGCAGCCAGATCCAATACAATTGAAGTAACTTGTGACTCCTTCAAACGTAAAAAAAAATGAAAAGGCGTCTATAGTGCTCCTGTGGTGTCATCCAAGTGTCTGTTAGCCACAACATTCAAATTCCACTTGAAACTGCATTATTTACACCATGTTTTAAACCTAAATGTCCGTGACCAGAGATAGCGATGCTAGCGGAAGTATCAAGGCTAATACGCACCCTGCACATCCCCTTGGACGAGAGCTGCTCCGAGGAGGCTATCATAGGACATTTAGGCTAAATGACACCTTTTCAAGTCAAATTTGAGTGATCACCAGTTACTTCTATTGTACTACATTTGGTGGTGAATAAATAATGAGTCAATATGAATTTTTCGGTGAACTACCCTTTAATTTTGCATGCTAAGTGCTTGTTGTTATCAAAACACAGGCGCTGTTATATTGATGTGTGACATAGACTCACAGGTCCTGGCAGATGAGTAAAAAGCTCTTGGCAGGTAGCCACATCCTTTGTGGACATATGTAGCCTTTGTTTGCACCAAAAAAGTATATATATTTTAGGAACCGAAAAATCTGTACATTTTAAAAATCCCACGGCATTTGGGACTTGAATTTGGAACCAAGTTTCGGTTCTCAACCCAACCGTTCACAGACTCACTTGCGACGTGTGCAGATCACAGAATGACAGTGCTCTTAGAATTCTCTGAGCACTAAACTGCATTTGTTCCTACCACCAGTAACTACAGCTGTCGCCAAATCAGTCAAGACTGAAATTTTAGATATTGAAACTTCACTCGATTTAATTAAGAAAATAATTAATAAATACATAAATTACAAATTAAAATCACGTAAGACTAAAAACAATTTTTTTCCCTGAACATTTCTAGAGCATTTGAAAAGCAGTCGACTTTATTTTACTTCTACATCATGCCTTCTCTCTTTCCTACAGACCTTTTGAAACACGGCTAACGTCCATGAAATAAATATGTAGAGACAAGCCATGAAGATTAGACCACATTTCTATTTAAATTCCTTTCCTGAACATTGTAACCTTGTGTTAACACCAGAGCAATCAGATTTCTTGTACATATTTGTTTTGAGCTTTCATAGCATTAGAATGGCTTTAATGAAATGGGTAGGTCTTATGTCCCTTCTGATCACTGAACAAACCTGTTTCCTTGTGTTAATGCATTGTTCTGGCTACATAACCAGATTTGTTGAGTTCCAGTTGCATTTTAGTCAGTACAGAACAAAGTTAAATCCCCTCTCAAAGGGAAACGGAACAGCAATAAAATATTGATTCCTGATTTGGTGGTATTCGCTGGCCCTTTTATTTTCCTCAGTATTTCAGTGTCAGAAACCAAACAGAGAGTGTTACCAGCTGCTGGGTGAGAAATCATGTCTTGGTTCCTTGTAGCTCATGCACTGCATGCTCACATTTTGACCTAAGTCAGACAACTTTATTACCCTTTCAATTTATTTGTGTCATGCCGCTGTAGCAGGAGCCTACAACCTCTAGTTTATCGTAACCATAAAGAATGTTAGTGACAGAAGAACAATTGGTTCAAATTCAGTCAGACAGAAACAAGGAGAGGGTGTATGGAGCTATTATAAAGTTGTGTGGGTAATGGGTCCCTAGCCAGGTTCCTCGTCATCCCATCAGTCAGGTTTAAGACCACAAGGCGCCCGTCAGGTCCAGCAAGCCTTCTGGGACCTGGTATAGCTCAGGATGAAATGACACGTCTTGACATCTTAAATTCAGCAAGATTAAACCCACACCAGTAGAGGAGGAGCCAGTCCACTCTTCTACTGCTTTATGTCCCTTTCCACCTACTCTCCTAGCCTCCTTTTGTTCATTTAAACTGTCTTTAGAGAGCTCTGTTTTATTGTTGTCTTTGAGGGCCTGTCTGGAAAATTGAAATAGTTTTCCCCATTATTTCACATTGTGTCTGACTGTCCGTCTTTGTCATTTTTCTTCCACAGAGAGGATCAGACGAGCTGAGTATGTACAACAGTCCCAACTCTGGCATGAGCAGTATCAGCGGTGAGTTCGTTCCGACCACCCATGAATAGGGAGGGGATGACAGAATTCTCATGAAGCCATTTGATCAGTAGCGACGGATGGCATTAAGAGGAATCAAAGGATTAATAGTTGTTTGAAAAGTGAAACAGGCTGCGTCAGTTCAACTGTTCTCTCATGGGAGCTTTTTAGCTTGTGAATAACATCACGCTCCTTAGTAGGTGGGCACCCACACACACCACATCACGTGACTAGAACAGACTCGGTGGATACCACTGCATTTTAATGTCTCCTCACGGTTCAGATTATATCAGAATCATCTCAAAGGAAACAGCAGAATTAAAGATGACTGAAAGAGCTGTTCACGTCGCTACAAAGAGAAGACGTGTAAAGTTAGAATATTAAACACTCTGCTATCAAAATAGAGTGTTAAAGGCATACACAGGGGTTTTGGGAGATTGTCTCTTTAATCAAATTCCCAGTCTACCAATGCTACTCCCTTCCACAACCAAACTAATGTCCCCCCAGAGAACTGCCTGATAAAGTGAGATAAAGATGTTCAGGCCACCTGTTTGGAAGCTTTAGAATACCAACCCTCGTCTTAGATGGATGCCACATCTTTCATTCAATCCTTTTATGACAGTTTTCAAAAAAGAACATGAGTAGGTCAGGTGTCTGCATGGAGAGTGTTAATAGTAGCTAATAGTGAAATTGTTAACATGTCATTATGTTGTGTTGAGGCTCGGTAAAGTTGGTCTAATCCATTACTCATTACTAGATACATTCATTAAGCTCCAACCATCTTTACTCTGACACCAAACAGCCATATTTTTCTTTTACGTTTCTGTCTAAAACCATAACAAACCATGATTGTCACTCGTATCTTACTAATTTGACCAATAGCTTATCTTCCGTACATGAGCATCAACATCAAATTACGTTAGTATTGTATCTCACACTGACAGTCTGTGCCCTTAACGTTATGGATGATCTTGACAGTGGTTCCACTCCAGACATGTATTGTTACCTTTAATGACACAGTTCACAAAGTTCTGCCACGTGAGTGTGCATCATACATTCAAGGTGCCTTTTGTAGTTATCAATTAACATCTTAATCTGTTGGTGTGACCAGAACTTGCCTTTAAAACAGCACAAATCCTGGGAAATCTCCACAGTTGGCCTGTGGATTTAGTCTGTCACAGTGTCTTATTCCTCTTGGTTTAAGACCAGATTGACTTGATGATGTTGAGATCAAGGCTCTGTAATGGCCACACCATCTTGTTCTTTTATCACTGAAAATATATTTTTTAATGACTTTGGCAGTATGTCTTGTGTGGATATAGAGTATTATATGAACAGTATGTGAGCAGTCAACATCTGCCACTATACACTCAGGGAAAAACGCATTAAAATGACGAAGCCCTGTTGTGCAGTTAGGTGCTTAAACAGATTGAGAATAATTCAGTCTCCAGGTTTATTAGGCTACCCAGGTTTATTTATTATTATTGCACTTAGAGTAGTGAGCATAGATGTCTTCACCCGGAGTTATCTTCACATCACTTTCTCTGTTACCACCACAGCCTCTCTGCTACGCTTGGGCTATGTGTGTCGCATGTACTGCAGCCCTGCGCCGGATGGGAAAAATACATTTTGTATTAGAATATGACCAATTACACCAATCAAGCACAGGGAATTTGAAATAGGCCTTTTTCTTCTTCTGCAGTAAGGTAAATGGTAGTCTTGAAATACAGAAATAAAGTGGTCAGCTCTGTTTATTTAACTCCACTGTTAAGACAAGTTGCAAATGTTTTACAATGAACTGTCTGAGGGCTGGTTTATGGTCTCTTAGAAGAGATGTGCTGTCCCACCATGTCAGTCATCAAATGCGTTTATGGTGCAAAGTGCAATGGGAAGCTGGCAATGTGAAAAGCCAGCCGTCATGGAGAGGGGGGGGACTTCATATAGTTAATAAATGGGTTAAAATTTCAGACAGTCTGTCATAAGAGATTTTCATGGAATGGCACTTGGTTGTTAAAAAAAACAACCAAGTGCCAAAAACACCACAAATTTGTTGTGGAGCAAATTTAAAAAGAAAAACAGAGCTTGTATCTCCACTCAGGTGGCCCGTCAATTCCTTATAGCAAGTCTCAACATATCAACTATCTTGGCAACACCCTGGACAGTTGTTTAGGGCTAACAAGACCTGGCTCCTATCTAAATGAATAGGAAGAAAGCTCAGCAACTACTACTTTTAATGGTCGCTGGTAAATTAATATAAAGGATTATATCTTCTTTTGGCAGTTGGCTGAGTCCTTTGTCAGTTGTTTTGCAATTGTTTAAGCGATTGGTCATTTTATTATGCTGATATAATGGTCTACCTCCTCCACAATTCATTCTTCTGTGCAAATAAACCTACAAACTGGCACTTATGTATTATATGAAACAATATTCAGGTCATCCTGACTCCACTTGCTCTCTCTCACTAATACACAGACATGCACCAACTCAGCTAATGTCTCTGACCTGCTACTGTTTAAATGTTAATTTATTTGTAACCACTGCCAGACTATTGACACTGATCACTAAATAATGATCAATACTTTTCTTAAATGAAATATTATTATGCACCCCCTCCTGATGCCTCCCGCTCGCTTCCCCTCTCTCTCTCGTTGACACACACACACACACACACACACACACACACACACACACACGGTGTCATCGGACACGTGTTAACTCAGACTGGGTAAAAACAACAGCGGCGAAGTGAGATCCCATCACAGGTGGTCACAGCTCTTCCATAATTGCATTTGCTAATGCTAGCGCACGCATCTTATCTCAAAACACTTAACATGGCAAGATCAAGACCTCACCATATTATAGTTAAACCCAACAGTTCCTACAACCAGACACATGGTGGGAGGGCATCTCCCTGGACGAGTTGGGTTGAGAGGAGAAACCTGCTGATACACGCTTGACAAGTCAGTCAAAAATCTGCCTTAGCTGTCAATCATGACGTGTAACTGTCTGAAAACAAATTTTCGGTGATAATTTGTGACAATTACAAAACATATTTGACAAGTTTATTTGTTGTGTATTTTGACTCTTCAGTTTGGTCCATGTTTATGACCTGTACTGCAGCCAAAGTGAAGCCAATAAACACTTTGGAGAGCCATCATGTCATCCATCTTCATATAAAGTCTATAGGCTGAACCAAATGTTTGGAAGCTTATGCCTTTGCAATGGAAGCTGACGTCCAAATCAGTTTTCAAATGCTGAGATTTTTTAAAATCCCACTGCCGCTGAAATACGAGGTCTGACTGTCTGCGTGGATTGACAGCGTGAGCATGCTGCAAATAGCCGACAATTTTCTTACCTAAGTTAGCTGAACCTAACGTCACCCAGCGGGATATTGTTTGCATGTGTGGAGAACCATGTTTAACTGGCTATCATGGTGTGAAGTAGTGTTGTTAATCTGTGCTCATTTAAATTGAATTGTAGATGGTGCTTCAAATGGCAGTGACAGTAAAAAGCTCAGGGTGGAGGAGGCCCCTCCATCTCGTGTGCTCCACATCAGGAAGCTTCCCAACGAGGCCTCAGAGACGGAAGTCATTGCCCTCGGCTTGCCTTTTGGCAAAGTCACCAACATCCTCACACTCAAGGGAAAGAACCAGGTGAGTGGGAGACATGGATAACAAGATGCACCCTCCACTTTTCTAGCTCTTGTATGTTATATCTGTGTTCCTGAATTTAGAAAAATTATCTTGACACGTTAAAAATTAGGAAAAACTAAGTTCAGTCTAAATGTTTGAATCCTTCAGCGGCTGAACACACATTCAAGGTTTTAAAGTTCAAAGGTTTTCCCACCATTTTTCTAGAAGTTCCCACAGATGTGCTGCACTTTAAGTTTGCTTTTCTTTCTGCTTCTGTCTGCTTCTTGACACTGCTCATGTGAAGCAGCTGTCTCGTTCTCTTTTTCTCTTGTTTTAGCTCATTACCCTGTTGCAAGATGAGCTTCTGACCAACCAGTTTGTCTTTCTATGTTACTTGTGCCTATTTCTCATCATTTTGATAGAAATATACAGCACTACTGCAGTACAGTACTGTCCTAATAGTGCATCGGAGGATGTTGCTGGCTAAAAATGATATAATAGTATGATTTTAAGCATGAAGAGTAATTCACTTTATCAAGTTAACCAATTTCATATTTCCCTTGTTCCTAGTTGTTGAGCTTTTCATTAATTGTTGAGCATCAGTTCAGCATCACAGATAAATTCATTGAGGCTGAGCCAAGACAAGTGGTGTACAAGGTTTAGAAATCTCTCTCTCTATATATGATAGTATAGTCTGAAGGACAGTGGTCATATTTTTGTCATCTTGACCTGACGAGAACCATGTGACATCTTGCTGTACCACACAAGTACTTTGGACACAGTCTGGTTATCTCAAACGGCATCTGAAGCATGCACACAGCTCTAACAAAGGCCGGCCTACAGCCTATTGTCAGCCTGCTGAGGTGGCCAGTAGGACACACTTGGCATTTGTCCCCTAGTTATCTGTCAGATACACCTACTTTGTTCTCATAGAACGTGTGCTACTCCTGATCGATTGATCGACACAGGCCCCATCACTGCGTTTGAGACTGTTTCATCTGTGTTGGTCTGATAACATTTCTGTTGCCACCACAGTGGTGAATAACAATGCACTAGGGGTGGGAATCTCTTGGCATTTTTTGATTCTGATTCAAAGATTCAAAGACAATTCGATCATAAAACGATAATGACCGGACTTGTGCGTCTGTCCTGAATCAGCTGTGATTATAATTATGCAGTGGCTTGATAGCTTTAAAAAAAAATCCACGTCCGCATCGCGGTGCATCGAAGAAACGATACATTTCCTCTCCTCTCTAATTCACCCAGTGAACACTTTGCTTTGCTGACCTCTGGTACAGTAGTTACATATTAGGTGTTAAGTCTGTGTATATGTCTTCTTATCTCAATTACTTGACAAATATCAATAACAAGGGTGTATTGGTTTTTAGGTGATCACTGTTACTGATCATATACGGATAAGTTACTTGTTTATTGGTTACTATGTTGGTGAATTTCTTGTTTTCTCTACTTCCAGGCCTTCTTGGAGATGGGGACAGAGGAGGCAGCCATCACTATGATTAACTACTACACCACAGTAACTCCTCATATCCGCAATATCCCCATCTTTATTCAGTACTCCAATCACAAGGAACTCAAAACTGATGCTGGAAATCAGGTAGGGCTGCAACTAATGATTATTTTCTTGATTCATTCATCTGCTAAACATTATTCGATGAGTTATTACGTCTGTGTGATAGTGAAAAATGTACATATTCATTTTTTCGAATCCAAAGTGATGTCTTCACATAGCAAAATAAAAGTCAAAGATATTCAGCTAACCATAATGTAATCGCTATGAAAATTATAGCCATAGTATGGGGCTTTTGCTTGAAAGCTGAACATGTACATAGTTGCATAGGAGCCCAATAATATTCTTTTGATTGACTTATCGATGAATTGACTAATAATTGCTAATTAATAGAAACTGACTAACTGACCATTGTGTTCAGGATGATAGATAGATAGATAGATAGAGTACTTTATTCATCCCCGGAGGGAAATTAAGGTGTCATAGCAGCTTGTGTATCGGAACACAACAAAACACAATGCAATAGAACAAAACAAAACAAAACATTTAGGTAAAAAGAACAGAAACAGAAACACAAGATGAATAGGCAGACAAGTAGTGCAGTGGCAATGTGATGATAATAGTAATAATGATATGATGGTAATGTTATTGTTAGACAGTATATAAGAATATTAGTACAGTATATATTTATATATATATATATAGTATACAATATAACATAATATATATTTATATAGACAGTAATTATACCAATATAATAGCAGTATATAGTAATAATGGCAGCAATAGTATATATAATAATAATAATAGTATTAGTAGTAGTGATAATAATAATATAATATAATAATAGCATGTACACATGTATAAATATGTGTATATTAGGATATTCTGCAGTTTAAATTTTAACCAAACACTACAGCCTTTAATCAGAACACAGTCAGTGGCAGAAAATCGAATACTTGGCTGTTACTCGTGCCTTGTTATTGTGTGGCTGAGAACTACTGTTTTTTATCTGCTGCCTTCCTAGTTACTCACCCGAAATTCTGACGTCTAGAACTCAAATGATAGTGACGATATATATGTCTGATAATCAGTGTGGACATAGTTGTCAGTGCTTGTTATGTTGTCTGTGCATAAACAGCGGACCCAGGCAGTGCTGCAGGCGGTGTCAGCAGTCCAGTCTGGCGGCTCACCAAGCTCAGACGTTCAGGATGCCCTCGCAGCAGCCTCCAGTCCTGTGCTGCGTATCATCATCGACAACATGTTCTACCCAGTAACGCTGGATGTGCTGCAACAGGTAAGCAACTCTTGTTTGACCTTTCTCGAATATTAAAGAATATTCATAGTGAAAGTTTGTATTTTTATTTTTTTTGTGTGTCTGCAGATTTTCTCCAAGTTTGGCACAGTTATGAAGATAATCACATTTACAAAGAACAATCAGTTCCAGGCCCTTCTACAGTTCAGTGATCCTGTTAATGCACAGCAGGCAAAACTGGTGAGACATTATATACATTCCCACTGGGTATGTTATGCAGCAGTTAAATGTAACGGGTAAAGATTTGGAAAATGATTTTCTTTTTCCCTGCCAGGCATTGGATGGTCAGAACATATACAACTCGTGCTGCACACTGCGTATCGACTTCTCCAAGTTGGTTAACCTAAATGTCAAGTACAACAATGATAAGAGTCGTGACTACACACGACCTGAGCTTCCTGCTGGTGACGGACAGCCCAGCCTCGACACCACGGTGGCAGCTGCCTTCAGTAAAGATTCCAATTCTCTCCTCGGTAAGATCCCAGGTAGATTACACTTTTATATTTTTTCTTTATTTTCGATTATTATTTGTTTTTTATCCACTTGCTAAATGTTTTAACGTATGGTCATAACCATAACGTTCACAGTTATAGGAAAATGTGATTAGATTTGGCATGGTATGAATTTAGTCATTTGGTCAGTCAATGGCCAGATTTGAATAATTTGTAAACAGTATAGCTTTTAAATACTTGACTGAATGGAATTATTACACACTGAGTAGTGGCTGCTGTTGGAGTTCAATCCTACTTGAAAATAATAATAACAAATTGTCAGGTCTTATTGTTGAGTTTGTGATGAAATTTAGCGGTTTAGTGGAAGTGCTGCTCTCCATTCCATGATTGTTGTGTCTGTGTCCTGTCAGGAGCCCTGAGCCCTCTGAGCGCAGCAGCAGCGGCAGCTGCTGCTGCAGGGAGGGTGGCCCTAGCTGGACAGACAGGGTCCAGCGGGGTCCTGCTGGTCAGCAACCTCAACGAGGAGGTCAGTAACACACATCCAAARAAACCAGTCAGATGGAACATCTAAGGCTTGAACTCCACCACTCCTTCCCCCCACCTTCATTCCTCTGTTTTGATTTATTTATTTGCTGGCTACAGCCAGTGCTCTTCTGTTCTAKCGTTTCCATTTTCATTGTCTTGTGTCTGCCATTCAGTTTATMAAGAATGGTGGGATTTGTACTTATTTGACCTGAAAACTCAACTTGGATCTGTTAAACTAAACGGCATATTTCYGCACCTTTTGTGCAGTTCCATCTTTAGGTTTAGTTTTAAATAAGTTGAGCATAAAGAAATAAATCAGAGAGCAACATCTCTTCATTGAGATTATGTGAGAATGAGAGGGTGGTTTTGTTCACCCACTTCCAAAAGGTCCCTGGAAAARCCTATGTTCTGTCATTGATCGGGAAATATTTTTGAAAGAGCTGTGAGTTGTGTGCTGTTGTATTTATGGTCTCAGCTCTGATAGTCACCAATCACTGAACTGTCCTGACTTACGTTCCACTCCTTTTAACAAAGAGATGGACTGGACCTCTAGTTACTCCAGTTAGTTTATATATGAAGCAAGAAGTTTTGTCTAWCCTTTTCTTTGCTGTATTTTCTAGTGTCCTTTACATGACCAGGGCCTTCCTGTTGCTTTTTTTCCTTTTTGGTCAGGACTCTTTATATGTCCTCATAAGAGAGGGGGATTTGTTGTTTCTGTCACAACACCCAAAGCCCTCCCCTCTTTCCTCCTCTGATGTTCTGCCTTTCCCATCTCTTGTCAAACTGTATCTAACTCGGCTAACTGTCTCTCTTCTCTTTTTCTCTCTAAGCTCTCTTCACCTCTCCTCAGCTCATATGAAAGCTCATATGAAATCATTTTGTGATCTCTTAACCCGTGTCTCACTTTTGGGAACAAATACCTGCCTCTCTGAAATGCTTGCTCACTGTCTTTCCTCCCTTTTCCTATGCGTTTTCTTTTTTTCTTTCTTAGAACTGTAATTTAAATAGCATCTAATCTGTCTCCTAATGTCTCTGTCTCTTTTCCTCATCAGTCTATTCTCTGGCTGTTAATGAATGTGTCATCCTGGAGCCTTTGACAGTATCTCAAACATTSAAACTCAACCTGCGACCTGTGTTAAGATACTGTGCTTAAGCTTTGTTTTAGCTTCTCTGACTTGTGTGAACACCACCTTTAACTCAAGTGGCCTTCACATCAACTCTTGCATGCCCAATTTTCCTGCAGAGCAAAAATGAAACTGCATGGTCTCTAAACTKATTTTCCCCCTTCAGCTTCTCATGTTCTAGTACCATTCTCCCTCGCTGAAAGATTGTAGATCTTCAGATTTCTTACCTGCTGCATGTTGTTTTTATCCCATGGTTATGACTTTATTGCTGATTTTTATTATGATTTTGACTGAATGTACCTTTACCCCATGCTTGTCCAGGGTGACCTACGTTTTGGCGCAAGTTATTTGCTGTATTTTGACTAAAGAAAACATTGATCCAAGCCATTATCTCTGACCAAACTACCTGCATTATTCCAGTGTACTGACCTATATTTTATTTTTTGTCCCTCCCCCCTCCTCACTTTTAATTTATTTTTTATTTTTACCCCAATTTGCATATGCCTTCCTATCCATCTCCCCTTCCTCTCTCCTCTTTCCTCCCCCCTTCTCCCCTCCATTCATCCTGCCCCCCCTCCCTCCCTGTGCTGGGGGTGGGGTGTAATTGTTTAACCCCTCAAATCACACCCTCTACCTCCCACGGTATCCCCCCCCCCCTCCAAAACCCCCCAACATGACTCCTCTTCTGCCCGCCTGCTCCCCTCCTCCATGACCCACCACTTCCATCACTCTSCGGGGGGAAAACAAAAACCACCATTCCTCCTACCTACCTCCGTTCTGGATCGATCTGTCCATATCTACCTCCGCTCCGCTCCGACTCTTCTACCTCTCTACCTGTCTCACGCTGCTTGTTGCTCTTCTCTCCCTCTAAAGATGGTTACGCCCCAAAGTCTGTTTACCCTCTTCGGTATGTTATCGTTAGCTCTCTCTCTCTCTCTCACTCTCTCTCTCTCCTCTCTCTCGTTCTCTCACTCTCATCTACCACCTCTTTTTTGCTCTATTTCCATTCTATCTTTGACACATTTGTCATTATTATTATTATTATTATTATTATGATTATTGTTACAATCCTATTTACATTTATTTGCACACAGTAGCCTGGTAACTTGTAATACCTTGTTGCCCCCTGTTTGTTGGTTTGGGTTAATGTTAATTTCTTTGCCCTAAACTTCATGATGTAGTAATCTGTCAATGCACGGTTAAGTCATTATTTTTGCATGATGTTGTTATTTTAAGCCATCTGATACAGCTTGATAACTTATCTGTTTAGAGGGTGTCTCTTCTCCTTCTTTACCTGTTCTTTCTACACACCTCTCACTCTGAAGTCTTCTTTAAATTTCTTGTGTGTATTCTATTCTCTCTTCTTTGCTTCTAGTCTTGAAATGTCCTTGTCTCCAGTGTAAAACGTTTTTAATAGTCTAACTGTTTGCTCTCTCTCCACCTCACCTCCTCTACTCCTGCCTGCGGCTTTAATGCAGGAGTGTACGGTGATGTCCAGAGGGTGAAAATACTCTACAATAAGAAGGACAGCGCTCTCATTCAGATGTCAGACGCCAACCAGGCCCAGCTGGGTAAGAGGATGTCATCTCCAACCAAATTCACTCATTCACATCTWAATAGTCTCTGAWACAAATATCTTTATTTTGAGGATATTTTTCTGGGCCATGATCTAAACAAAACTTTGCAACTCATCAATTGAACTTGGGTCGCATGATAACAGAATACTGTAGTGAGGCATTATCATGCCTGCATCATAATCTATTCCTCCAACCATCAGAGTCACCATAAAGCAACTTAAGAGCTACTTTATGGCAACTGTTGGTTACTTGAGTGTAAGAAGGTTTTAGTTATAAAGAGTTGTCATCACCCAGTGGAACCAGCTGAGTMAATGTGTACAAAGCTTTTCACTGGGACAGCACAAGTTGTAGCTTTAAGGCCAGTGGGCCTTTCTSTAACAGCAGGACTGTTTGGAAGTGGTTTCATTTCATTATTCCAGAATCGAATACAAARGCTGTTTCTCATTTGAATATTGGTCTAGTTTCATATGTGTATTTAATTACATATTAACAGCATCCTTTTCTTTAACACGGGTAAAGCAATGAGCCACCTGAATGGTCAAAAGGTGTATGGGAAGATCATCCGAGTGACCCTGTCGAAGCATCAGACGGTGGCACTGCCCCGTGACGGCCTGGATGACCAGGGCCTGACCAAGGACTTTGCCAATTCTCCACTRCATCGCTTTAAGAAACCYGGATCCAAAAACTTTCAGAACATCTTCCCGCCCTCTGCCACCCTCCACCTCTCCAACATCCCGTAAGTACCACAGCAGTCAGCACAGAATCAGTCAGATCTGTAGAGAGGTGGCTGGAGGAGYCYATGCCTCAATTCTCCCTCATAACACACAGAGGTGGAGGGTGTTGTTAATATAGGTCCACTAGGGAACTACAGTATTTTTGAATTGCACAATGGCAAAATAGAGGAATAAAGGAACAGAGGAAAAGATCTGGCTCTCTTCAAAGAGCTGTAATTCCCWTCACTACTCCATATCCTTCTGGAAAGCCCTGCAGGCTCCTTGTACACAGGAATGTGATGAAACAACACCAGACAAAGCATTTGACAATAGTGGCTTAGTTTTTGTTTGTAATGAAAAATGGATTTTGGAGAGAAAACCTGTTTAAACATAGCAAAACATGAATGGCACTCAGTAAAAAGCACATCCCTCGGCCAACCAAATGAAATTCAATCAAGCTACACCAAATTGTCTCCTAATTGTGCCAGATTTTTAAAAATCAAGATCCATGAATGATCCCTGAATCAATGAAAATGCACAAAAACAAACAAAAACAACCTGATCGGCCCTTTAGTGGAGAACTGCATCACCAAACTGTACTGGGTTCTGTCTCGGCCCATCTGTTCACCAAGTGTRATTGAATTCTGTTACGTATTTGTTGAGAATGAATGAATGAATGAATGCGCAGCTGTGAAGGACTTTACTTTGAAAAAAAAGTACTGATCATCATGTGGTGGTCAGTGTTGATAGTGTAGCAGGTCAGAGATGTCAGCTGAGTAGGTGTTGTGTGTGTGTCAGCATGCAGGACAGAGAGAGAGAAAAGAGAGCCAGTGAGCATTTGATGAATAGATGTATATGTGTGTGTGTGTGTGTGTGTGTGTCACACTTAAACT